CGCTGTTATTCATGGAAGGCTTCGGCCGGGGAAGGCGCTGCGGCTGCAGCAGCTGCTGGGGCTCAGCGCCTCTTCCGCTGTACGTCCACCAGCAGCGGGAAGCTCGCTCGCTGCAGCAGGGCCTGAAGGCGCAGCAGCAGCAGCAGCAGCAGCAACACTACCAGCAGCTGCTAAGCGAGGAGCAGTTTGACATGCAGTTCGCCCTCCTGAGGTACGCCGTGGCTGCCACTGCAGCAGCAGCAGCAGCAGTTGTTGGTGCTGTGCACCTCAAAGCCGCTTCAAAAGTCTGCATCGTGCTGCTGCTGCTGCTGCTGCTGTTGCTGCTGTGCTGCAGGCAGCACGCAGGCCTCAGCCCGCCCTCTCTTGCTGCAGTGGGCAGCTGGCGCTGCAGCCCTTTCCCGCTGGACTCGCAGCTGCCGTGGCTGGCGGGGCTGGCGCTGTGCATGCACTACTCAGGAGAAGCAGCAGCAAAGCAGCAGCAGCAGCAGCAGCAAGGGCTGCTGTGGCTGCCGGACAAGCAGTTCGTTGCTGCGCTGCCCCCCAGCACGCAGCCCTCCATCCGGAGGCTGCTGCAGCAGCAGCAGCGGCTGACTGCTGCCTTTGCAGAGCAGCTGGAGTTCTGCGGCATGTGGCCCGTTGCATGCGCGGTGCTGCTGCTGGGCCCTGACAGAGGTGTGCTACCTTGCTGCTGCTGCTGCTGCTGGTGCTGCTGCTGCCGGTGCCTCAGTAGTGCTGCTGCTGCTTCGTTGCTGCGGCTGCTCCCCCCTTGCCTTGCTGCTGCTGCAGCGGCAACGGCGTGCCGCGGCACCGCGAGCCCGCCTCAGCAGCTGCTGCTTCTGCTGCTGCTGCTGCTGCTGCTGCAGACGCAGGCGTGCTTGCTGCGCGGGCCCTTGTGGGGAAATACGGCAGAGAGCTGAGTGCAGAAGTGCCAGTGCAGCGGAGACTTTGGGCTTCGCAGCTGCTGCTGCAGCAGCTGGGCCTTCCGCAGTCCTGGCTGCAGCGGGCCCACGGGGACTTGCTGCAGTCGCGAGGGAAGCACCTACAGGCGAGTCCTTGCTGCTGCTGCTGCTGCTGCTGCTGTTTCTGCTGCTGTCGCTGCTACTACCTGTGCTGCTGCTGCTGCCTCTGATGCTGCAGCTGCTGCGGCTTCTTTGGGGGGG